AGCGGTTACCAAGATATACACATGTAACCATAAGTGGGCGTGGCTACGCCCATTTGCCAAAATTTTATAATATTCTTATTTTTCGTCTAAAACTCATTGTAAATATCAATTTTGAGTGAATTATCTTCAGTAGTTACTAAAATATCGCAGTTTTCGTATTTCTTAAAATTACCGTTATATGGGAGGTAGGCGTGGTTATTATCCGATTTCGCCCATTTTCAATACCATCCGTCCCACGCCCAAAAGAAGTTCACGTACCAAGTTTCGTTAAGATATCTCAATTTTTACTCGAGTTATCGTGTGCACAGACGGACGGACGGACGGACGGACAGACAGTCACCGCTTAATCGATTTCTCTTTTCATTCTGATCATTTATGTATACATTTGTCTATATCTATCTCGATTCGTTTTGCCTGTTACAAACAACCGTTATGTGAACAAAGTTATAATACCCTTGTGCACAAGTGCGCTCGGGTATAAAAAAAGTAAGTGCGCCTGGGTCACACTTTAGAAGTGAAACTTACGTTACTTATCTTTCTATACATACACACATCTGCTTTTGCTTAAGGTTATATTTTTTCGCTTTTTTTCTATTAATGTAGATCCCTACCACTGTTCGTTTTAATAACATTAATGTTATTCTGTTTTTCCATTATCTTCATTTTTATCTTCATACTCTATCGATATAACGTCCATCAAAATATCGATAACAAAATCGATTAGAAAATCAATAAAAATATCGTTAAAAAAATCGATAAATATCGATAACAAACCCGATAAATATCGATAACAAAATCGATAAATATCGATAAAAAAATCGATATACAACTAAAAATATAGAAACAATCAAATCAAACCATATAGTGTATGTGATGGTAGTATGTAGAGAATAAAATTGCTTCGAGTGCTTGCAAAGAAACTTAATTCGTGGAAGGTGATCATTATATTGTTATGTAAGTGTATGGAAATAAATCATACGTTAACTGTGTGAACCAGTTATTGCTATTGAGTATGCACGTTTTAATGCTTAAACTGAGCTAGTGTAAAAGTTCCTCTTACCTTACTGGGGCTCATGCAAAAAAGTAAGCTCAGACTCAACTTTTGCACTGATGGAGTGAGTTTAAACTCAAGAATTTATACTGAAAATAGAGTCGGAGCTCAAGGTTGCTTTTTATGCATGAGAGTCACTGCCTTATGAGGAGAAACTATGGCCCCTATTATGAGTTGCATTCGATCTTCGACTGTGGTCGAAAGTGCTGATCGAACGAATTTTCATTTGGTATTATGGCGCTCATTCGATGAAGAATAGCGCTAATGTGAATTTCGCTGGTTTACGTTGTTGTTACAATAGTATATTTTTCACCGCTGAGAAGCTTTGTTTACAGATCGAGCAAACTAAATAGTGTGCTTATACATGTGAACATATGTAAATTTGTGCAAATTAAAATGAAATAAAAAAGAAAGCGAGTTCATTAAAGCGTGGTAAAAGAAAATTTTAATTTGCNCATATAGTGTATGTGATGGTAGTATGTAGAGAATAAAATTGCTTCGAGTGCTTGCAAAGAAACTTAATTCGTGGAAGGTGATCATTATATTGTTATGTAAGTGTATGGAAATAAATCATACGTTAACTGTGTGAACCAGTTATTGCTATTGAGTATGCACGTTTTAATGCTTAAACTGAGCTAGTGTAAAAGTTCCTCTTACCTTACTGGGGCTCATGCAAAAAAGTAAGCTCAGACTCAACTTTTGCACTGATGGAGTGAGTTTAAACTCAAGAATTTATACTGAAAATAGAGTCGGAGCTCAAGGTTGCTTTTTATGCATGAGAGTCACTGCCTTATGAGGAGAAACTATGGCCCCTATTATGAGTTGCATTCGATCTTCGACTGTGGTCGAAAGTGCTGATCGAACGAATTTTCATTTGGTATTATGGCGCTCATTCGATGAAGAATAGCGCTAATGTGAATTTCGCTGGTTTACGTTGTTGTTACAATAGTATATTTTTCACCGCTGAGAAGCTTTGTTTACAGATCGAGCAAACTAAATAGTGTGCTTATACATGTGAACATATGTAAATTTGTGCAAATTAAAATGAAATAAAAAAGAAAGCGAGTTCATTAAAGCGTGGTAAAAGAAAATTTTAATTTGCACAACGGAGTTCTGGTTGAACGATTCGTCAGAGGATGAGAGCTTAAAAATTGGCCAGGGGCAGAGAACGTGAGAGTTTAGGTGCAGTCTTTCGAATATATTTTGACACACAATACATTTAAGAAATTTTGTGGTCCAAATCTATATAAAATATATTAAAACTATAAACAGCTCCATGATTTTGCTTTCGAGTTCGTGCCAACAGAGTATAGGGATTTTCTTTCATATGTAAAACATAAGCTTACCAACGGTCCTCCTTTGAGGAGGAATGTCCTCCTGTTTCTGTAACTATCATTTGAAGGAATGTGACTAGTGGGACACTGAAAAGAGCTCTATTTTACCCTTGTGCATTCAAAGATGAATTTTAGCCAAAACACTTAACTATCACGAACGATGTATTTGTGTTGTAAAACTTGAATTATAAGCTTTCGTTTTCAATAAAAATGGTTTTTACATAATCTTCATAGAATATTTAAAGTGTGACTGGTGGGACATCTCCTTGTGATGGCTGTAAAGTAATTATGCATGAAATAAAAGTTTCCATAGACAAAAACTACAGCTTCATTTGATTTTTTAACATTTTCCCACAGGTTAATGAAATGTAGTCATTTAAAAAGAGGTAGAGGTAGGCAATAAACTAAATTTTTTGAACCCGGCTTGAGTAAAACAATTAAAAGTCGATTTCAAATCTTTTATTTAATTAATATTCAACAACCTTCGCCGCAGGTTAAAAAATTCTTAGTTTTGCTGCTGACCCTTAACTTAATTTTCCGAGTATCGTTTTCTGCTCCCGTTCCTGTGTATCTAACCTCTTAGCGAACGAACTCAACCGTTCAGTTTCTCCCCTTTGTCGCTTATCATATCAGCAAACGACTCACGCTGAGCTTTATTTGTCGCGAAGCAAAGCTCTCGGTGGTGATGCTGCCAGACTGTTTGCAACACTCCCCCCTGGTATACCCTGTAAATCAGGGTGTACCGAAATTAAATCGAGAATAACAATTTTGGCAGCAGGTCGCTCATATACGCCACATACAGTCTTAAGTGTTGCACTCCTAACCTTCCGTCAGGGCTCGTGTGCACTTTAACTACCTTTCCTTTTGGCCAACAGTTTCTTGGATTGTTTTGATTGACTATATAGGCAATGTTGTCAACTTCGATCGGCTTTACGTCATCGAACCACTTACTTCTTCGCGTTATGATGGGAAGGTACTCCGCGACCCAACGCCCCCAGAAGGCGTCGGCAAGTTGCTGAGAAGATCGCCAATTATGTCGCAATAAAACACCTTCAGTTACTGGTTCAGCAATTGGTTTAACGCCACTCGAGCTACCCAACAAGAAGTGGTTGGGTGTTAGTGCTTCATCGTTTTCATGATCCAATGGGATGTAAGTCAGTGGGCGCGAGTTAACTATCATTTCTGCGTCCATTAAGGCTGCTCGAAGAACTTCGTCGTTCGGTTGTGTGTGGTGCATGATGCGATAGAGTACGTTCTTTATGGAACGTACAAGCCTCTCTCAGGCTCCACCCATGTGGGGAGACGCAGGCGGTATAAAGTGCCATTTAGTTGCTGGTGTCGTAAAGGTCTTGGTCAGTTGTTCACGGTCGAGTTGCCCGAATGTGTTTTTGAGTTCTCTTTCCGCGCCCTTAAGATTTAAGAATTCTAACGNGTTTTTTTTTACAAATTGAGCGCAGCTCGGAGAACATTTCGACCCGAACGTCATCTCTCTCTGTATTATTTTGCTCGTACCACAGAAAACTCAGAAAAGTTTGATCCGCAGGACGGATCCGCACCTGATGGAACATCTCTTCTATATCGGCAGTGATGCCGACGCGTTTTTGTCGAAATTTAAATAAAACGGATAGAAGTGGGGTTGTCAGGTCAGGGCCGGCGAAGAGCATAGTGTTAAGCGAAACACCGTTTACCGTAGCAGCTGCGTCCCACACCAGGCGAACCTTGCCTGGCTTATTAGCATTACTCACTGCAAAAACAGGCAAGTACCAATATCTTTTGGCGGCAGCATCCTCGGATGTCATTCGCCGGGCATATCCTTTTCGCAGATAGTTGGCAATCTTATTTTGAAGCTGCTCAGCAAGTTTTGGGTCACGTTGCATTTTCTTCAGCAAGCATTTCGCGCGATATTTTGCCATAGGCAGGCTGTCTGGTAGCTGCATATTAGGATACTTCCACAACAAGCTAGTTTGAAAGCGATCACCTACTCGAACGGTGTGTTGCTCTAGCTGTTCTACGGAAAGCTCATCATCTTTAGACATCAACGCTGGGGTATTGGCCACCACACCTAAATTATCGAGACAAATGTGGGATTTAACAACCTGACGAAGTTCTTTATGCTCAGAGCAGTCGCATATGTGATAGACGTATTGAGTTGCACCTTGAAGTGCTATAGATCTGTGGCCTTTGACAGTCCACCCGA